CTTATTTTGGAATAAAGTACATTGAGACTACTTATTATTTTAGAATAAACTACATTGGTACTATTTTTTTAGATTAAGACCATTAAATAAGGGTAATATGGGAAAATAATGAGAATATGTGAGGAATTAAATTAGAAAGTAAACACCCAAAATGAAAAGTAGAAACATTATTGTGGAACGGATGGAGTACTATATTTATTATTATTATTATTATTATTATTATTATTATTATACCAATTTATTACCCTTATTCTTCCTTTTTATCCTTATCTCTCATATCAAACGTAATATAAATTACTCTAGTATTTAAACTGAATTAATGGTGCAATAGAATTTTTTTAAATACAACAAAGCCGAAAATATTATTGAGCTATAGCCAAGTTCCCAAATACAGCAATCACGTTACATATTACAATTTAATCGTTCACAAATCACAAAATAATTAACCTCTTACATCTAATTTATTAATGAAAGTATATATAGTTTTAAAAATAGAAAGAAAAAAAATGTACTTGTATAAAAAATGCTCCTTTATCTGTGCACAGTCCATCTGTACATGAAGTACATAAGTATGTTGTCTACTTTTATTTATTTTATTCGTTTGATATGTTTTTGCTTTAGACGGTTTTGTAGATTGTAGGTGACGTGCTATGCAACAAGGATAATGACGTCAGCCTCAGGTAGCGTGGGAGCATCACCGCAAAGAGTGACATCCGGCAGAGGTTTGGTGAGATGGGCCTGGACAGTGTGCAAATGGGCCATTTGTAGTTGTTAAATTTATGTCGCTGTCCCCTCTTCTTTATGCCTAATTGGCTATTTTTAATCACAGTCATTTATTGTTTGACCTTTCTAATTCTAGCTCCGTCCGTTTGGTGGGCCTCCACCTCCACCTCCGCATTTGCATTTTCACCCCCACACTTGCCAAGTTGCTTTCAATACAAATTTACAAATTACAACGGATCATCAAATTTCAAAAGTTGCTTTCATTACACTTCCTACTACGAGTAGAATATTAAAATCATCATCGATAATAATTTGTTACTCCATATGTCCTTTGCGTGTAATACGTGATACACATTTCAGATGGCACCGGATGGCCAAGCCACCATCAGTCCATGACAAATGTACGTTGATATGTGTCTTGGCTAGTAGGTTATGCTTGGATCACACTTTAAATCTAAAATACTGTGATAAATCATGACGTAACATGATAAACCAAATATCATGAAAGACAATTGAGATTTGATTTGTTTTATACACGGAAAAATTGCTTGATTGGGTCACATTTTAAATCTAGCAAACTATGATAAGATACAACCCGATATGATATAACATGAATTTATTGAAATTTGATCTATCATACATTCATACACATGAAAATAGCATAACCAACCAATTCAATAACAATCCGATTTTGAAAAGTTACTATAACCAACATTTATTGATTTGTAGCGTGATGGTTTGAACTTGGAAGCCATTTTTGGAGATTTAGTTTTCGATATCATAACCAAAATTTTGTTGCTCAATTCTCTCAATAAGAATCCGGTTTCGAAAAAATGTTGCACTGTAGTAATGACTTCACACCTACTAAATGTCAGTGTATCCGAAAAAAATTCTGCAATAAAACCATTCGAACCTAGCGCTTTTTCTTTTTGAATAGAGAACATCACTTTTCTTATCTCCTGGTTAGAAAGATCTCTGCCTAGTGACATCAACTCGGCATACCTCAAGTTGTTTAAAGTCTTGTGAAACGATATGGAGTATTATTGAAAATACTCATTTACTTAGTACTTTGCGAAAATTTTCTACCTAAAAAAATTCTACTCCTCTGTGTTTAAATAAATGAAACGATTTAACTTTTTGCGCTATTAATCTAATTTACTTTAACTAATGTTTGTAATTTATATATATAATCATGCGGTTACTTGTTAGAATCGTTTCAATGAATAGTTTATTAATAATCAATGAATAGTTTAGTAATACTCAATTATTATAATTTTTACTTATTAATAATTAAAAATATTATCAGTCAAAATTTTACATTGATATACGTATACAAGGAAAATGTTTAATTTATTTAAATATGGAGAGGTCATTTTTTTTTTTTGAAAAGCATTGTAAATTATAATACCGGCTGCAGGTCAATTTACTATTACCCCCAGCTCCGAATAATCCTACGGAGTACAATTGTAGCCTCATCAAATAACTCCAATTCTCCAATAGTCGTCAATAAATTATTACGTATGCCTAATGATGTCATCGGATACTTAAACTATGACATATGAATATATGATCAATAGTATTACGTACAAATTTTGACAGATAATATTCCAAGTATTATTAAATGCTATCACTTATTATTTAAATTTAATACTACTTATGAACTAAATAGTGGTTGCTCACTACGAGTACTTGGTAATTTAATTTATTTGCATGGCCCATTACACTTTTGTGGTTTAAAATTATAAAAATTTTGACCATAAGTTATCACCAATCTATAAAAATAAAGGTAATACTTATTTTTTTTTTTTGCATAAATGGAGTAGGAGATATTTACATTTTACTCCGTAACATACTTTTTGGAGATTGTAAAATGTCAAATTAAGGAAAGCAAAAAAGAACAAAGGAAGTGTTGGTATAAGATTGTAACTCATACATTAGAATTGTGAGAGCCAATTACACTAAAGGCACTTTAGGTTGAAGATTTTTATTAACCAAATAAGTGGATCACAAATAAGAGTTCTATAAATATAAAGGCAGTGGACGAAGGAGTGATAAAGTTGGTTCATTTATTCATCATATCAACATTTAAAAATTTATAATATGTTATACAGTATATATTGCCTATTTGGTAACTGACTACAAATCATGATGATAAGAGTAAATTTGTGTATAAATCTATGCAATTTTTACCATCTAACCAGAAGTAGGCATGTAGCTAGAGCTAAATATAAATATTTCCGTGCAACCACTCTTTTTTTTTTTTGCTCATTATAAAATATTTCCTCATTTGTATTACATTACATAGTTCTAAAAGTAAGTACCTCGAGTGGGGTGTCGAGTGAGTCCCTGCTAGGGTTTCAATCTGTCTGTCGATATAGTGATTATGGTGATTTGGTGCTCCTTGTTTGTCGTTTTTCTTGCTTCGATTGAATTGACTTGCGATATGGCGGACGATCTTATGAAGGAATGGGAGAAATTGAAACTTACTGAGGCGGAAAATACTGTTTTTATGCCTCCGATGAATGATGAAACTGGCGATTCTACCAAAGAACGTCTAGAATTATCCCTGATTAAATTACTAACAACTAAACCTTACAATCTAGAAGCTATGAAGAGGGTTATGAAGGGTTTATGGAAATTGATTGATAATGTGGCGATTTGTAGGATTGATACAAACCTTCTCGTCTTTCAATTCTTTACGGAAGAGGATAAAAATCGGGTACTTGATGGAAGACCATGGGCTTTCAACCAACAACTCTTATTGCTTAAACCAATTCTCGCTGACGAACAACCATCGAATATTAATTTTGACCAATCCCCTTTTTGGATCAAAATGATTGATGTCCCTTTTGGAAGTCGTAATGCGAAGTTCGCTCAGGAAATTGGTAACCATATTGGAGAATTCTTGGAGTATGTGATTAAGATCCTTTAGGGTGGGATGAATTCATGAGAGTGAAGGTAATGGTGGACATTACAAAATCCCTTAGAAGAGGGATGAAATTAGCCATGGGACCATCAGTGTCACGATGGATCAACTTTAAGTATGAAAGACTGGGTGGCTTTTGTTTTTATTGTGGCAAATTGGGGCACATTGACAAAGACTGCATTGAGCAAGACTTGGTGAGTGGTGATGATGAAGTTGTATTTCAATATGGCCCATTTATGGTGGCTTCACCACTGCTACGCTCGAAGGCTGTTTTGGCAGAAAGAGAAAAAGAAAAGAAGTTGGTAGAATCTTTCTCTGGAAGGACACATGCGCGTAGAGTGTCGTACAATGATCCAAAAACTGTTAAAATCGGACCTCTGAGTGCAGCTAGAAAGCTACTTTTTACCCCCTTAAAGGAGCTTTCCCCTTATCCGAAAGAGAGAGAGGCGAGATTAATTTGGGTGGTTGATGACAGTAGCAAGAAATTGGTGCTAAGACCAAATGCAGTTAGAAACGTGAGAAGGAATGATGATGGGAATGTTATAGAGGGGGATGGTAGGGATGGGATTTACCATCCAAATTCTGATGGGGAGGGAATAATAATGTAGGGGAATATTGCAGGGAAGAAGAGGTGTGAGTTGTTGGAAAAAATTTCTGAGAGTGGGGAATTGTTGAGGGGGACGGAGGTCAGTGGGGGCAAGGGGTGTGAGCTATAATAATACTGGGGAAGGAAATGTGATACATGGCACAATTAGGGGCAAGTGGAAGAGGGTAGTCAAAGAGGGTGTTTGAATAGTGGATTTGATTATATGGATACTTTTGAGGTGTTTGTGATGCCTGAGACAAATAAAAAAGGGGAGCAGATGTTGTGGAGGAGGGGAATAATGATAGTGCTGGATACAACAGGGTTAAGAAGGGGAAACAGAGTCAAATTCAAGTAGTTGAGAAGAACACATTTGAAGTAGAGGGACACCCAAGCCCTCGAAAAACAATGAAAATCATAAGTTAGAACTGTCATGGGCTCGGCAACCCATTGATAGTTACAGCCCTCCAAGATATGTGTTGGAGGGAAAAGCCGAACATTGTCTTTGTAATGGAGACAATGATTGATGATTAAAGACTTGAGAGAATAAAAAATAGGTGTGGTTTTTCGAATGGGATTTGTGTTAGTAGTGTTGGGAAGTCCAGCGGTATGGGTTTTTGGTGGAAAGATGTAGATGTGGGAATGTTTTGATACTCAAAGCACCATGTTGTTGTGAATGTGCTTAATGATGAAAACTCCCCTCATTGGTGTGCTATTGGCATATACGGGTGGCCCGAGACTTCAAATAAACATAAGACATGGGAACTAATGACTTCTCTAAAAGCGAATTGCTATGTTCCATGTATTATGTTCGGTGATTTCAATGAGGTGACGAGTAATGCGGAGAAAGAAGGGGGTGCTCATAGAAGTGAGAGGTTAATGGACTCCCTAAAGGCATCCATTGATAATTGCCGCCTCCGTGACTTGGATTTTACTGGGAGTATTTTTACTTGGGAAAGAGGAACTTCTATTGCAACCTATGTTCGTAAAAGACTTGACCGATTCCTTGCGGATGATGGTTGGTGTGCTTTGTTCCCAGATTTTATGGTGAGAAATTTCCCTATCGATCAATCCTATCATGCCCCAATAATGGCGTCACAAAAAAAGAAGAATGATGACAGACCGAATGAGAGCTCCTTCAAATTTGAACCCTTATGGCTTTCGAAGGATAAATGCGGTGAAATTGTGCTTGATGGGTGGAATGGTGGTAACAATCTGAGCATTTCACAGAAAATTGGTCGTTGTGGGGAATTCCTAGCTTCTTGGGTTGCTGTTGAATTTGGGTCCACAAAAAAAATCGAGAAGCAATTGCGAGTTCTTAAACAAAGACAGATGGATGGTGCCACTCTAGAGAGATGTCAATCTTTGTCCATTGAGCTTAATGATCTGAGAAGACTAGAAGAATCTTATTGGTTCGTGAGAGCAAGGGCAAAACGAGCTACGTGATGGGGATAAAAACACAAAATATTTTCATCACAAAGCTTGTCAAAGGAAAGCTTAGAATCGAATCGATGGCTTGATGAACAATGAGGGTGTTTGGAAAACTCAAAGGGTTGATCTCGAAAGGCTTATTACTGCCTATTTTGCTGACCTTTTTGCAACCAACTCTCCTACTGGTTTCCAGGGAGCTCTTGAAGGGCTAGGCCAAGTTGTAACAGAAGATATGAATGTCGTTCTGGATAAAGAACCAACCGGAGAGGAAATCAAAGCTGCTTTGTTCCAAATGCACCTAAATAAGGCTCCCGGCCCTAATGTTATGCACGCTTTATTCTTTCCAAAATTCTGGCATATTGTTGGTCCGGACATTATTGGTTTTGTGAAAGGATGGCAGAGAGGGGAAAGGGATTTGAATGCTATTAATAATACTTGTGTTGTTTTAATCCCGAAAATGAAAGATCCGAAGCTTATTTCGAATTTTAGACCCATTAGTTGTTGCAACGTTATTTATAAAATAATATCAAAAACAATGGCAAATAAACTAAAGGGTTTCCTTAAGGATGTGGTTTCACAAAATCAGAGTGCATTTGTCCCACAAAGACTTATTATTGATAATGCAATTGTGGCCTTTGAGATTTTTCATGCTATGAAGAGAGGGGGTGATGGCAGAAATGGCAATATTGCGTTGATGTTGGATATGAGTAAGGCTTATAATCGGGTAGAGTGGTCGTTTCTTGAAAAAGTGATGGAAAAACTGGGTTTCTCTCAGGCTTGGATTGGGCGGGTCATGTTGTGTTTAAATAGTGTTTCTTTTGCCTTTAAAATAAATGGCCAGGTCTCAGGTTGTGTTACTCCGTCGAGAGGATTAAGGCAAGGAGATCCCATTTCTCCGTATCTTTTTTTGTTGTGTGTGGATGCTTTTTCCACTCTATTAACTAAAGCTGCGACAGAGAATCTCATCCATGGTGCTAGAGTTTGTAGAGGTGCTCCTCGAGTATCTCACTTATTTTTTGCCGATGACAGTATCCTTTTTGCTAGAGCAACTGTGCAAGAATACTTTGTTATAGCTGACGTTATCAGCAAATATGAGAGGGCATCGGGTCAAAAAGTCAATCTAAGCAAGACTGAGGTCACTTTTAGTAAGAAGGTAAATGCTACTCGTTGTCAGGAAATCATTGAAACACTGGTGTAGGCGTCATTCGAAGCGCGCCTACGTTAGCATGTTGTGAATATGCTTGACACTCATAGGAAATAGGAATTGGCATATACGATTAGGGACAACGATTAGGGACAAATAAAGTAGGGAGCCGCCAACAAGTTTTAAGGAACTTGTAAACCGTTCACGGATCATTTAAGGCAACCACGATAAAGGGACAACGATAGGCAACAATGATTGACCCGTGAAGGTTACACCCCATTCATAACACCATGAGATTACTAACTCCATATGGTTCGGAAACACGAAAGGAGGATTGGGGATGATGGTACGAAGTGAGTCATGGAGTCACATTCGCCCGTATTGGCCTCTACTTGATTTTTATCGTGAAAAGTATTCCTGCAATCTCAAAGGAACACAAACAAAGATTCAATTTGCTCCAAATTATTATTAGGCTAAATTGTTGAATGTTAATGCAACACATAATTCTAAATATCGCGATCACTTGATCAAGCAACAAGATTAAAAAGGAACCTAAACCGGTTGTCCAAATTATCTTATTGGGCGTTATATTCAATTACATATTCCCTTTAAACATGCAATATGGTGATTATTACAATAATAAAATCATCATTAACATTGGAAGCATTGCATTTTAGCCATAATAACGTTAGTAAAATCAAATCATAATAATAACACTAATCATAATACTAGCAATAAGAATAAAAATAAGAGTAATTAAGTGATTAATTACTCACGTTCCGTGCACTTCTTTAAATTGCTACATCATGAATAAATTGTTAGTAACTTCAAAGAATAATAAATCAAAATTGAATTTAAATTAAATAAAAGTAGAGTTGATTTGGGGCCAAACCCTCAAACAGTTTTACCTTTCACGCCTTGGTTTAAGTTTAGAACCTCGGGTAAAGTACGGACTCCGGGGAGTGCTTAGGGGATGTATTGTTGAAGAATAGGGAAGGCTATTATTTAAGCTAGAGCATAAGAGAGAATGATTTGGTGTATAAGAGGGAAAGAGAGAATTGTTTGGTGCCCCAAAACTGAGAAATCAGCCTCGTATTTATAGAGAAAATATGAGGGGTGAAGCACGGAACCCTAGAATTGAAGGCGCTGCGAAACAAAAAAAATAAAGAAATTTTCCATGTCACGGCAAAATTGCCGTGACGCGGCAGATTTTGCCGTGGCATGGTAGATCATGCCGTGTCTCGACAGATTTTGCCGTGTCGCGGCAATTGTGTTTTCTGGAATTTCGTCTAGGTTCATTTTTATAATTTATTTTGAATTTAGTATGGGATAATTGTGCGCCGTTTTAGCTATTTCGGTTTTAATTAGGTTTAGGTTTTACATATTTATTAATCGGGCTCAATTAATAAATAATATGAAATGGATTAAAAAGGGTTTGGGCTAAAATGTGGATTGGACTATGCTTTGACTAAACATTAGGACTGATCTGTTGACTGATTTGCAAAATGTGTTTGATTGAATATGGGTTTTAAGCATTCCCGAGATTAAATACTCGTCCCGACCAATAATGGCGGTGAAAGGTTGTTCATCATTGTGTTTGGTTTTGGGGAGACATTTTTAGGTGTCTACAACTGGATGTTAGGGAAGTTGAAAGGCATGAGAAGTACCTTGAGTTACCGACTATAATTGGGAGATCGAAGAAAGTTATCTTTGCTGTGCTTAAGGATAGAATTTGGAAGAAGTTGCAGGGTTGGAAAGAGAAACTGTTATCAAAACCGGGAAAAGAAATACTCATCAAAGCGGTGGCTCAAGCCATCCCGACATATATAGTGAGTATTTTCAAAATTCCGGACACTCTTATTGATGGCATCTATTCCCTCCTTGCTCAGTTCTGGTGGGGCTCGACGGACGCGTCTAGGAAGCTACATTGGCAACGATGGGATCTCTTATGTCGACCTAAGAACAAGGGGGGCATGGAGTTTCGTGATCTCAAAGTGTTTAACCAAGCATTGTTGGCTAAACAATGTTGGCGTCTCCATCAGTTACCGGGCACTTTTCTTCATCTATCTTAAAGGCAAAGTATTTCAAGAATTGTGATGTATTAGTGTCCGAGTTAGGTTTTGATCCTAGTTATTCTTGGAGGAGCATGTGGGGGGCTAGATCTCTACTTCTTGAGGGGATGAAATGGAGGGTCAAGAATGGTGATATGATAAATGTGTGGTCTGATTCTTGGTTACCAGGCTCTTCTTCTTCGATTGTTCCTACCCCCTTTCCTGGGAGTGATCTAAACCTTAGGGTGAAGGACTTGATTGATCATGAAAATCACAGATGGAATGTGGAGGTTGTGGAGAGTACTTTCAATACAGAAAAACAAGCTCTGATTCTTTCTATCCCGCTGTCTGACCGAACTCAAAGAGATGTCATGTTCTGGTGGCCTAATAAAAATGGCATTTATAGTGTAAGGTCTTGTTGTTGGTTGAGGATGCAAGGGGGTGCTGCTAATCTGAATTCTAGTGTGGATGATGCGTGGAAATTGATTTGGGGTCTAAGTGGTCCACCGAAGCTAAAGACTGTTCTTGGGGGTTTCTTGGGGGTAAGAGAAAGACTGTTCTTTCTCCATCTTCTTCCTGACAATCAGTGTACCATTTGTGGCAACAATGAAGAATCAATTTTTACATGCTACTTTTGATTGTTCTGCTGCTAGAATTATATGGGCTGCTAGTGAATTTCGTGACTTAGTTCAAGATGTAACAATGACTAGCTTCACTGAAAGGCTAATCTGGTTCGCAGAGAAAATCACTAAAGAAATTTTTTTTGCTGCAACGGCACTGATGTGGGCTTCCTGGTCTTGCAGAAACAAGTTCATTTTTGAGGGTAAGGTGGATGATCCTATTGGTATTGCTGTAGGCTTCTCCAAACTGGTGTTTGACTATATTGAGCATGCGGCTAAGGTGTTTCCTGGGAAAAATGTGACAATCAGGCTGTGTGTCAATGCTTGGTGCCTACCCGGATCTGGGATTATAAAAATAAATTGTGATGCTCACCTTGGAGGAGATACAGGCCTTGGTGTTGTTTTTAGAGATGAACATGGGACGGTTCTTGTTGCTGCTGTAATATCCCCTAATCTCCCTCTACGGAAATACTAGTATAATACGTATAATTATACCGTAGAGATAGACTTAGGCGTATTACCGCCGCGTGATTACGCAAGGCTACTCAAACTACTAACCAAAACCAATACTTTGTAGCGAAAACTCAAACTCTTTCTTTATTAAATAACTATAAATAGAAACCATTGTCATAAGTACTCATAATTAAACAAAGACCAACAATCCTAATTCTAGGTGAAGAACATTCCCGGGACTCCCATATGCTCAATTCTTGACTCCACCTGAAAATAGTCAACACTGCTTACCATTACGGTAAACAGGGCGAACCAAAACAAATAAGAAATACGGATTAGCAAAATATGCTAAGTACGATAAGTGCAAGATAAGTAAATTCAATTTATTTGCAAACATGCTTTTAAAACCAATTCCAATAATTAATCCAATGAATTCCAAAACTCATGATTCAAACCAATTCTCAATAATTCAATAATTCGATGAAATGATTTATAAAACCAATTCCTCTTTTGAAAACCAATTCTCAAATATCCTCAAAATAATTCCAATAGCTCAATAACTCAATAATAATGATTAATAAAATCAATTATTTTCGAAAACTCAACCTCCACTCTAAGTGTACACACCCCCCAAGCTAGTCTCTTACTATTTCAAGGCTATTCTTGGAGAAAGACTAGGTCATACAAAGTCCATAGTCTTCAATGAATCCGCATAGTGGGATTAATATAATAATCATGCTTGTAAAG